GCCACCCCGGTGAGGTAGGAAAACCACCAAACAAAATAAATACAGTCTCAGCTTCTTTTATTTTCTGGCTTTCTCATTCTCTGATTCCCTTCAAATTTTAGCTGTCGCCAGGACTGTGTTTCCCCCATCAATATAATACAGAAAGGGGGGGGGGAGAGAATAAAAATTGTTCTACAAATAGCTTATAATAATAATCATGCAGTGTCACATCCACTCTGAAATAAGGACTTGGAGCACACACACACACACACACACACGAAACCAGGAAGAGTGAAAAGGTTAAAGTTTGAACTTTAACAAAACAAAACAAAAACAAACTTGATGCATGCAACATGTTCGCTTTTAAGGAGAAATGCTAACAGCCTTGTGAATATAAGGGCTACTGTTGGAGCCACCGGGGTGAGGTAGGAAAACCACCAAATAAAATAAATACAGTCTCAGCTTCTTTCATTTTCTGGCTTTCTCATTCTCTGATTCCCTTCAAATTTTAGCTGTCGCCAGGACTGTGTTTCCCCCATCAATATAATACAGAAAGGGGGGGGGAGAGAGAGAGAATAAAAATTGTTCTACGAATAGCTTATAATAATAATCATGCGGTGTCACATCCACTCTGACATATGGACTTGGAAGTTGGTAAGTCATTGGTCCCAAGTCCCAAGTCTGAGTCTTCGGTCCCAAGTCCTGAGCCTGAGTCCCAATTAAAATCAAGCCTTTTTTGCCCCCAGAAAAAGGGAGGGGTGGCTGGCTTTCAAGTCATGACTCGAAGTCATTGGGGAAAAAACCCCATAAGTTGCGTTCGAGTCACGTTCAACTTAAGTCCGACTTGACAGCGAGTCTGTCTGTCTGTCTATCTATCTATCTATCTATCTATCTATCTATCTATCTATCTATCTATCTATCTATCTATCTATCTATCTATCTATCTATCTATCTATCTATCTATCTATCTATCTATCTATCTATCTGTCTGTCTGTCTGTACAGAAAGGGGGGGGGGAGAGAATAAAAATTGTTCTACAAATAGCTTATAATAATAATCATGCAGTGTCACATCCACTCTGAAATAAGGACTTGGAGGTTGGTAAGTCATTGGTCCCAAGTCCCAAGTCTGAGTCTTTGGTCCCAAGTCCTGAGCCTGAGTCCCAATTAAAGGGAGGGGGGGCTGGCTTTCAAGTCATGACTCGAAGTCATTGGGGGAAAAAAACCACGAGTTGCGTTCGAGTCAAGTTCAACTTAAGTCCGACTTGACAGCGAGTCCTGTGACTTGACGCCATATTCCTGCTTAGGATGGTAATTTTTCAGGGTACAGAACACTCAGAAGTGGTTTACCATGTCTTTCTTCGGGGGGGGGGTGTCCTGGCACTGCCCAGCTTGCCCAAGGCCACCCAGACTGCACTTGCAGGAGACCCAGTGGCGTTCGAGTCAAGTTCAACTTAAGTCCGACTTGACAGCGAGTCCTGTGACTTGACGCCATATTCCTGCTTAGGATGGTAATTTTTCAGGGTACAGAACACTCAGAAGTGGTTTACCATGTCTTTCTTCGGGGGGGGGGTGTCCTGGCACTGCCCAGCTTGCCCAAGGCCACCCAGACTGCACTTGCAGGAGACCCAGTGGGGGGATCGAATTCCCAACCTCTGGCTCCACAGCCAGAAACCTAAACCACTGGCATCATTATCTATCTATCTATCTATCTATCTATCTATCTATCTATCTATCTATCTATCTATCTATCTATCTATCTATCTTCTGTCTGTCTGTCTGTCTGTCTGTCTGTCTGTCTGTCTGTCTGTCTGTCTGTCTGTCTGTCTGTCTGTCTGTCTGTCTGTCTGTCTGTCTGTCTGTCTGTCTGTCTGTCTGTCTGTCTGTCTGTCTGTCTGTCTGTCTATTCATTCATGCATTTATGCATTTATTTATCAACCTGCAAAGGCACAGGGAGTAACACACTCCCATTGTCCGAATCAACATTTCATCCACTTCGAAGATAGCGGAATTCAAGGTGTCATGAAATGTCGGTTGTGTTTCACATCATCTGATTTTAATTCTCTTTTCCTTCCTACTTTAGGCTTTCAGCTTTTGGAGTAGAAGCAGCCTGCCTTCATACGCAAGCGCGCCTTTGGATAGGGAGTATTTTTAAAAAATATCTACCTCAGGACCCGTCAGAGTTCTCACGGGGGTCACAAAACACCCCTCTCCTACCACCCCTCTTCTCTCTGAGTGCATGATGGTTAAAGCAAGAATCCTTCAAGATAAGAACGGGCAGCTCACAGGAGAAAGGAAGGCCCTAAAGGTGAGAGGAAAAGCATCCGGGAATCACCGGATTCGAGACCCGAAGGCTGTCCAGAGTGAATGGGGTTCAAGATGTGTTTCTGTTGTTGGTTTTCCATGGCCAGAAGTCCAGATTGAGACCTG